TTTTTTTTTTTTTTTTTTTTAACTTTTTCTTTCACAAACATTACCATTGAAAACATGTCACATTTAATAAGGAAAAAAGTGTTAGGATTTTTAAGGTGCTTTAGCGGAATAAACATTCAATTAACATATCATTTTTCACTATTAAATATATATATATATATATTTTTTTGTTTTTGGAAAATTCAAGCTAAATATTTTTGAATATGCAACAACTTAACTTTTTTTTCAACATACTTTTTTTATGCCAGTTCTACATACATAAATATATGTATGTATGTGTGTGTATGAGTTTTTTTTACCTTAATTGTAGATAAGTATATATAATAATTAATTTATTTAATAAAATTTCTGCTATTAGCTTTAAACACAACCGAAACTATTTTATATGTATGTATGTATATGTGAATTTACGAGTGCGTCTATAACAAAGAGGGCTTCTGCTCATTTTACATAACATTAAACACATTCAACTTAAATTCTATGTTTTAATTTTATATTTTTATATTGTTTGCCTTTTTGTTTTATTATTGCAAATTACCTTTTGATTTGGCTTAAAAACGAAAGAAAAATTAGAAATAATAAATTGCATAAGATTTTAAGTTTTTAGGTTGTAAGTTCTTTAAAATCAAACTTTTAATATAAAAATAAGAAAAAAAAATTTTTAATTAAATTTTAATATTATTCTTTCAAGGTAGGTATATCAGGTTTTGGAAAAATATTTTTTTTTAATTCATATTAATAACCAGTAGGTTTTAATTTAAAAAAATTATATTGAAATTTATAAACATTAATTAATAAATTATAAAAAATTATTATAATTTATTTTAATAAAATAATTGTTATTTTTTGTTATATGCATTCAAATATTTGTTTTGATTAATTTTTTGTTCGTTGTGATTTGTGGCTTATTGTATATTTTGCAGTGTTGTCATTTACTGTGGATTTTTCTTAAAAAAAATACACACTGAGTAAAACTTTAGTCTAGATTTATTTTCTAGACATGAAAGTGTGGAAATAAAATACATAGTTTCAAATTATGTGCTCGTGAAACTCAAATGGTGGAATTAATTTTCTGGTTTTATTTAAAATTTTCTATATTGCACAAAAAATAAGTTTTGACCTTAAATATATTAGTATTTTTTTTTAAATTTAATATATTTTGTTAATCATTATTTAATGAAATTTTATTTTCTTCTACCCCTTTTAGGTTAGTATCTTTCAGCTTAGTTTTTTTCAGTTTTATATTATGTTTAATTTTAGTTTTTAATTTCTTCCGTGTATTTCTTTTATTCACATATTGTCTTGTATACTTACATATATAATTAATCAGCAAATCTTGTATAGCGTCATTTGTTAATTTCTGTTTAGTGTCTCATGTTGGAATAACAAATTTATTTATATTGTTAAATTGTATTATTTATTTTAATTTAATAGAATTTTATTTTATATTCTTACTTTTAATTTTTTGTTTTATTTTTAATTTTACTTTTGTTTTATTTTTTTTTTATTTATATTATTTTAACTTTTTTTATGTTTCTTAAACTCGCTTCTGTTATTATTTGCTTTAAATTTTTTCAAATTTTGTTTTATTCATTTTCAGCATAAGTTTTTGTTAATATTTACTCCCTCAGGAAGGGGGTTTTTTTATCAAATGAATGCTTAATATTTTACTTTCCTTTAATAATTTGCTGCTTTATTTAACTTTCCTCAGTAGCATTTATATTAGACTTTTGCTTTTTTGTTTTTGTAATAAGTATATATTATATGTATTAATGCAATGCAATATTTTTCAAAAAATTCAACGCACACGCATATATAAACTTGCCATACATTAATTGCTTTTTAATATTTTGTTTTTCGCCAAACATTAATAAATTTTATTTTTATGAAAATTTTTTAGATTTCAATTTTTTTTTTCATTTTTTCAAAATTCCATTATTTCAACTTGTTTTGCTTGCATTTTCTTTATCCATCCATAGTGTCAATATTGTTGTGTAGTTTTCTTTATTTGTATATAATATATGTAGAGCATTAGTATAGTGATTTGTATGTTTGTTGTTATATTTTATTATGTTGAGTAGATAGGTGGTAGTTGTACGTGTTATTTAAGTAACTATTCTTTCTTTTTAATATTAATATTATTATTTTTCTTTACATAATAATGAGAGATGCATTTTCAGGAATAATAAAAATTTAAATACAAAAATTTGTCTGGGTCAAATTAAAATAATTTCATTGAAAATTTTAGATGAAAATATATGACCATTCGAATCGAAATGTCTTGTGTGTGTGTGTTAGTAAAGGAATGTAAAACATTTTCTCAAAAGAAAAGGCAATATTAAAATTTAAAAAAATGTAATTAATTATATTAATGTAAAATGTAAGAGAAAAAATCAAATGAAATAAATTAGTAATAAATAGAAAATAACATAAAAGTAAATATGTGTAATAAAATACGAATGGAGTAAATATTAAAATAAAATAAAATAAAACAATTTATAATATTGTTATTCTATTATTGTATTATTTATCATATATTATATATAAATGAGTAATAAATTAAGAAAAGTTAAAATAAAATTAAATAAAAAATTATAATTTTGTTATTATATTGTTGTATTATTTATTTATATTTAATAAATAAATAATTAATTAAAAAAGCTAAAATAAAATTAAATAAAAAATAAATACAAGTAAACGTATATAAAATCAATATAAATAAACATTCACTTAAAATAAGAAAATTAATTTAAATTAATTAATATATAATTTTATTAACATAAACCGAGCCAAATACTGAGAAAATGAATATGTATTAATTATTATTTTCTTTTATACATTAAATAAATTAATTAAGTTAAATATAATAAATTAAAGAACAAAAAACTTTTATAATTATTTACAATTTATAAACAAATAAGCTTAAATAAAAACGAATATTAATTCAATACAGTTATAAAGAAATAAAACAACAAAAACATAAATAATATATTACAATGTAAATAAAAACATGAAAAAAATTAATTTTTGTTTATAAAAGAATAAATAAAAATTGAAATGAAATAAAACTTCATTAGATTTTATTGTATAAACGCAAAATAAAATAAATGAATTATATTAATTTAATTATAAGTGAATTTAATCAAAATATCAAAATAAATTATAGCATAATAAAATATTAAATAGAGTTTTTAAAATTAAATATTAAATAAAATAATAAAAAAAAAATAAATAATATGAACCAATTTTTAAATAAAATACAATAAGTTTATATAAAATGAAGAGAATAATATAATGTTAATTTAAATTAAATAGAACTAAAATATAATTAAACTAAATGAAATGATAGAAATTAAAATAAATAAAATTAAAAAAAATTCAATAAACTTGAAAGGAAATAAAAGAATATATAAAAGTAAAACAAAACAAAATAAAATATAATAAATACAAATTTTGTTAAATATAATAAATCAAGTAGAAAAAAATTAAAATTGTATTAATAAAAATGTAAAGGCTACCATAAAATTAAGTCAAAAATAAACAGAATAAAGTAAAATGATATAGCACAAAATAAAATTATATAAATTATAAAATAATAACAAAATAAAAATAAAATGGTTAAACATAAATGAAATAAAATAAATTTAAACAAAATAAAACAAAATTTAAAATTATTTAATCCTTAACAAGGAAATAAAAAATAAGAAAATAAAACTAGAACGAAATAAAAAAAATTAAAAAAACAAAGTGAGAAAAGTAAAAAAAAATATAATAAAATAAGTAAAATTTAAAAATTTAATATACTTAATTTTAATTTTTTTAATTATTATAAATCAATTAAATAATAAGTAAACTAATATTGACATTTTCTAAGCAAAACAAATTAAAACCAAATAATTTGAAATACCTTTCTGTATACACTTAGATCTTTCTTCGATTATAACTGTTTTCCACTATGAAACCAGGAAACTTCAGAGGCGAAAGATGCGCTTGTGTCATAAAGTAGTTAGTAGTTTTTTTTTATAATAATAATTTGCTAATTTTTTTCAATGTAATTTTATTATATATATTTGCTTATGAAGTTGATGCAAAGTACAGATTATGTACATATGTATGTATATACGAGTAGAAATACCCAACAGTAGAAGCTCAAGCATTAACTATCACTCCCATCGCTGTATATTTACGAGCATATTTATATTTCCACATATATGCACATACATACATACATACTAACACTGCATTTTAAGTAACTTCAACTTTATTTAAATTTATCATCATTGCACTCCTGTCCTACTTCAAATCCAATTCATCATCCTCTTCGACAGTGGGCTTACCCCAACGATTTGCGTTACCATATGAATTTATGCTGCTTACACTGCCCGTTTTTGGTGAATCACTGAAATCGCTAAAGGCGGCATTTTGTATACCCTCATAGTTGCGATACGAATTGCTATTACCACCATTGCTACCGTCATTGCTGCGCTCGGAGGTGACGCTCATGCTCTTCGAGGCACCAAAGCGATCGGCCTTATAGTTGGTTGGTGGTCCGCCGAATATGAGTTCGGCATCGGAGAGTGAACCGCCGGAGCGTGTGTACTTGCCGTTGCTATGGCTGGGTTTAGGTGCATCGCCGAAGATTATGTCCAAATCGGTTTGTTTATTGGAAGCTGAAAATATGCGTGTGTAGATATTAGTTTCACATAAATGTTTGGTTAGATATTTTATAAATATATTATTAATGTATTGTATTTTTAATTGATGCAGTGCATATACAAAAATACTGTTGTTTCAATTTTCTGGTTTTGTAATTTTTTCCAAATACGCATTACTTTGGCGCCAAATTAAAAATTCTTTGCACGAACACTGTGTAAATGCAATGAGTGATGAGGATGAGTTATCAAAATATGGTGGTGATTTTCAATATTGCCAATATTCAAAAAAGATGCTTACATTAAATTAATAATGAATGATATGAGTGAATGAGTTTGCAAAATGGTCCAATGTTTATTAGCAGTGATGATGGTGGTTGAGCGGTTCATGGTAGTCTAAGTTACCAAAAACTAAATTTTTGTTCGCATTTTCTAAAAGTGTAATTTATAAGACATATTTACCGAAAATTTGAAGTCATTTCGACATATTCTTTTCGATACTTTTAAACTGTTATTTAACATGTACTGAGATATAGTAGTGCCCCTCGTTTGATTTTAAATGAATTTACGAGGGAGGGGAGCTCTTTGAGGTAGCAGTTTGGTGCCTTGGTTTGGAAAGCCGACTTTTTTTTAGTAATACTACAATATATGCTAAGAATACGATGTAAAGGTTTCGAAAATTGAGGAAATTATAACGCATATAGGTGAGCGTCTTGTTGTAGTATGCGATGAGCCACAAGGTTGTAGAAATTTGAAACTCGTTTTTCTCGAAACAACGCTCTTCGGCACTCATAATAAAAAATTTACCATCCAACCGATTGGTATAAAATCCCAATATGTTATTCTACTTATCAAGAACTCTCGCAGGAAGTATGACTTTTTTTACTGCTAACTCTATTTTACATTCCCGATTTCTACAAAACAAATCATATTTTTTTCGAAGTAATTTTTTTATTTTACAACGGAATTGTTAAATACTGATTCCAACCAAAATTACAATCTCACACAACAATAATATTTGAATCTTTTTGATCCCAGGGCTAGCCATCTCCTCTTTTTCGAGCTGCTCACTTCAGTGCCACAAAATAAAGAATTTCAAAAAAAAAAATTATTATTTTTTCACTAAGAGTCACTATTAATAATACCATAACGGCTGATCCAAGTAGCGGTTTTTGTTTTCAATGGCCTTTTTTTGACAGATCACGATCATATGGAACGACATGGTGCATTTTACTGCGAGATTTTAAATTGAAATCTCACAAAATGTAGCTTGTGCAAGAACTTAAGCCGCTCGACCTTTCTTGAAAAGCTTCAAGATAATCCGACTTTTTCGAGCCAATAAAGGCCCAGTTCTGGATATGCAAACAAGCAAAATTGCCTGAATTTGGGATGAAGATCAGCCATTTCATTTCAAAAAAGCTATGTTTGGCGTGGTCCTGGTAGAATCATGGGTTCATATTTCTACAAAAATGATGGCGGTGAAAACGTAACCGTCAATGGCGACCGCTATCGCGCCATGATAACCGATTATTTGATATCTGTAATTGAAGCTCATGATCTCGCCGATATTTGGTTTCAACGAGTCGGTGACACATCCCACACATCACATCAATCAATGGATTTATTGAAAGAACACGGCTTGGGCCGGTTTGTGATATCACACTGTTCGACTTTAACCTGCTGGAATATGTAAAGTCTAAATTTATGCGGACAAATCCGGACAAACGCGTGTCGAAATGCTCTAACGAGTCATCGAAAATTGAATTCGACGAATGAACCATCTGAGACGTAGCCGCGGCCAAAATTTGTAAGAGATAACCATCAAAAAATAAATGCCAAAAAATTTCTTTCGAATGATCATAAACATTCCCCATTAAATTTGGAATTTCTGTGGTGTTTAGGGAAGCACTAAATTGATCACTCTTTTTTTGTTTTTAGGGAACCACTAAATGGATCACGCTTTTTTACAAAAGGAAATTGATTGAGTTTTATTTATTTAAAATATACCAAAAAACTGAGTTTATGTAGAGAACACCTATCCAGCCTGTTTAACTATAGAGAAAATGAAACACCCGAAGATGGCAAACATGCAACCCAATCGATGACGACGGTGTAATCGTTCCACTACTCGATTGTGATGAAGTTATTTCATCGATTGTCCGCTTAAAAGAAAAAAAGACGGTAAAAGCCGATGGCTTACCTGCTGAGCTGTTTAACCTGAAGCGGTGAAGAACTGAAAAGGTGCTTGCAGCAGCTGCTATGAAGAATATGGTCGGACAAAAGCTTGCGCGAATATTGCAAGCTGAATATGCTCTGTCCAATTATGGTGGCATAAGCCTATTCAACAAAGTGGAGTATTGAGAACCTGGACAATGTCCTGCTAGCCGTTCGGCACCAAAAAAGCTTTCCCATAAGGTGAATTATTATCTTACAACTGTTATGGCCCATTGCTGGAGAAAATAATCAGGGCATATAACTGCTGCCCATCGTACTGATATCATTGGTCTCAGCTCAGTAGTGGTGCTTAGTCGCTAATATTTTTCCGAATGCGGTCGCCCCTCGGTAGGGTCCTCATAAAAATTCATCGCCGGTTCGGAGGCGGCTTAGGAGGGGCCTACACCATTTTGTCGGTAAGCCCACAAGACGCACATTACAAATTGGAAGGAGCTCGCTTAAGCGGTTACAAAGCACAAATTATAAAAATAATTTCTGCTTTCTTCGTAAGGAATAGAAAAGCAAAGCGAATGGGTTGGGTAGTAAATGAGGACAACATCAAATGCTTTCTATCATCATACAACAGTCAGCGATCCACGTTACTGCCGACAGTCATAGTACTGAAGTTGTAGACAATTTCAACTATCTGGAGACGAGAATTAAAACCAATAATAATCTCAGCCTTGAAATCCAGTGCAGAATCAGTCTTGTACAACTTTGAGCCGAGTACGAAATTGGAAAGCGAAGTCCTCTCCCGATGAACAAAGACCAAACTGGGCGATAATGACATCTGCTGAGTCGGCAGTAGAAGTCTTTGGGATAAGTTTATGATCTACTGCGTATGGGTGACGGGGAAGATATCAGACAATGGAAAGTTGGGTAGATATAAGGAAACATTGATATAGTTCTGCGCCGAACGGCTCAAAAAAGAAACGACTGTCGCGTTATTGTTACGTCGGCTACAATCGCTTGAGTGTGCCTACACCAAAGAATAAGAATACGACGAAATCAGATAAAATGATCAAATTCGAAATGAGCGGTCGTAAAAGTCTTTGATTAAACAATCTCATAAGATTTTCTTTCTCAAAATCAAAAACAGGCTCGAAACCACTGCATTTTAAACAAATTTAGAACTTGAAATTGTTAATTTAATGAATTTGTAAAATTTTGATATCTATATGAAGCTCAGAGAGCTCAATAAGACTCCAAGCTTAAAATCTAAGATTATTCTTTCACGTTTGCTATTTCTTTTCTAATCAACTCAGCCCTTCTTTTGATAACACATCGCCATTTTCAGAAGATTGTGAGCATAACAGTTACAGTTCACATCCAAAATACAGAACGCCGATTGTAGAGCTTTTCGAATACAATATTTGCCAATTACAGTTATGTATGTAAAATCATAATTTGTTTTCGGGCAGCCCTCGATTCGTCACAATCGGAAGTGATTGCAATATATTTTCATAAAAAAATAATACTCTAAAGACTCGAGTTCAAAACTTCATACGAAATAATTCGTACAGTGTTGCCAATAAGTTTTCGTCATTTTGCTCCACTTTGAGTTCGAGGCGAATCGAGGGTGACCTTGTTTATTAAATAGACAAAAATACGAAAAAGCCAACAATTCATACGACTGAGTTGCACAATTCGAGTACATACGAAGCATAATTTACTTCCATTTTTGTAAATATGTATTTTTTTTTCATAAAGCAACAGAAGACAGAAGAACGCGTTGCTATTATTGTACTGTGTACTATATGTGGCATTAAAGTGTGTATAGAGGTGCCGCGTGTAGAGTGCCCAAAGCCAAAGAAAACATTAAAAAATGCAGTGTTGTAATATACTGTTAATGTTAGAAAATTTCATAATCGAATTTTGAGCAGCTGCAACGAATTTTACTTTTTTGAATTGTAGGGGGTTTCACTGAGTTTTTTATGTAAATAAAAGAATTAATAATTGAATTAAATATAAAAAATTCATTAAATCTTTTTTATTTTTTAATAAACATATTTTTAATGCAATCCAAAAATTCTTTAAAACCTAAAAAAAAAATCATTAAATTTTTATAATCTAGTAAGTTTTTTTTGCGCACACAACACTGTGAATCCCCCTATCGCCATATGTGTATAATTAATTTCTTTTTAATTGTGTTGCAGTTAATTAGACATTAAACGTATACAGTGGATGCAATAATTTTGTTTAATTTTTTTTTAATTTTATTTTATTTTTTTTTTTTTTTGCAAACAAAAATATATATTTATTTGTGATTTTACTTGTATGACAGAGTTGCATTTTATGCAAAAACTTTTTAAAAACTTACGAAACATTGGCTTTGTTGCTTTACGGCGACATGCTTCATTTGCGGCATGACGATTTTTCGAATATACAACAATAACAAACATATAATATACATATTAATGGTGTGTGAATCGAGTTCAAGTTGTTAGAGTAGGACGGAAAAGCATTTTTAGGGCGTGATAGCGTAGGCAATTCGACGTTGATTAGAATAGAGTAGAGTAGAGTAGAGTAGAGTAGAGTAGAAATTTTGTTTTTGTTTTCTTTAATTTTCAAGGTTAATTTTTTCTTATTATTTTCATTTAATGTATGTAAGTTTGTATGTATGTGTCGAGGAAGGGACTTGAGGCTGGCACATTGTTTTAGAATTTTTTGTATTTGAAATTTTTTCCTCTCTCTTAAAACTAGTTGGGTAGCTTGGGACTATGAGATAATGGGATACTCATGAGCGGGTTTAATTTTATAGACGGGCGAGTAGAAAAGTATGAATGTTTGTTGTTTTTTTTTTGCTAGTGTTTCTATCTTAGTTGTTAGTGAATAACTATCTTATTTTTAGCAGAAAAAAATGCTTTTTATAGCGCTATTCTTACGAGTATCACGAAACTTATTGCAACGCGATTATGCCCAATGGTTGGTTGGTTGAAAGAGAAAGGTTAAGGACCTGGACATAAGGTCCATTCAGCAGGCCCATTGTTTTCCGCCGTGTATACCAACGAATCTCGCTTGATTTTATAAATTCTTTTGCCACCAACTTCGTGAGATTGGCGCTGGGAGCAACTTGAAGATGTGAGGTCTGAATCGGCTGAAGTATTGTGAGCAATACTGAGACTAAAAATATGACAAATTGCACTCAAAAAAAAACATTCATTTCGTTTGAGTGCCTAACCTATTTTTTGTTGCATAGTTTTCGGCGTTTGGGCATATTTGGTAATAATGCTGCATTGAGTTTTGTGACACCCAACGAAATAGTTTATTTAAGTTCGTTATCATTGAGCACTAATATTATGAATATATTTATGAAAATATTTTTATTTTTTATTTTGTTTGTGTATTTTGTTTGTTTGTCCGTAGAAAATTTATATATTTTTGGCTTCGTGTTTAGATTTTATATATGAAAAAAATTCACTATAAGTGTAGGCTGTTGGCTTAGGCGCTGACATAGTAAGCTTGTGTTTGACCTAATCACATTTATAGTCATTTAGTTTTAAGTACGTTGGCCTCTAAGCACTTTCCCTAACAGATTCCAGCTTTTTAGGCTTATTGAAATATTATTGTTAGCAGTTGTTGATCTCTTCAATTCCTTTCATTTCCATTTGGGGTGAAAAAATAGTTCCTCTACTACGAGTTTATAGATGAATGAGTATATATACATACATATGTATAATATTTTCTTATTTTAATGTAATAGTATGATAGTTATGTTTGCATGTAGTTATGAATATGCCTATTCGTGATGCTTAATGAGTTGATAAAAAATACTAAATTTTTTTTTTAATGTCTTATAGTTTAATATGACTGATATGTATGTATGCATGTATGTATGTTTGTTAATGAGCAGTTATGCATTTGATATTGGCACCACAAAGACTCTTCCGAAATTGCCATTTTACGTAAAATTTTCACTTTTTTTATTTGACGCGCTTAGGATTTTCGCAGTGTCAGACTAACGAGTAGTACGCCCACGGCCAGATAATTACCATTGCTTTCCGAGCGAGAATATGATGGTCGTGTATACGATGGCAGATCGGCTGTGGCATTGTAAACGTTCGAGGCGGGGCTGGAGTTCGAAGCATAGCCAGAAGTATCGCCAGCTGCTGGCATTGTTGAGCTGACTGCAGCGGGTGCGCTGTAGACGCTAGCCGAGCGTATGCCCATCTTCGATTTCCAGTCGATACCACCGCCACTAGTGGAAGCAGCAGCGCCACCGCTAGCGTTGTCATCACCTGTTGCCCCGACGGCACCAGCAGCGGTAGCATCACTACTGGGACCAGCTGTTGTTGTGGTTGTAGTGTTGGTGTCCATGCGTGTTATGGTCTCAATGGAAGTTGAGCTGCCGTAGTTAAAGGTGCGACTATCTTTGCCGGCGCTTGGTGGTGTTGTCGAGATCGAGTTGCGGTAGCTGGTATTACCGGCAACACCGGTCGGTGGTGGTGGCGGCGGTCCAAGTGGTGGTGGTGGTGATTTTACGCCCACATTGCCGTTACGATTGATGCGCGATGAGATTGACGATGATGAGATCGATGACGATGAAGTTGTGGACACGGCGCTGCCAATTGTTTGATTAGTGGTGGATGTTTTTATTGCGCCCTTATCGAAGGGGTTAACACGCTCTTGCGGTTCGAAATTGGTAACTGGTTTGTATTTATTCTCCTCTGGCAAATTATCTAAAACGCTGGAAGATGGCTTGCTACTATAGCTGGCTGCCGAGCTTGCGCTTACACTCATACTGCCCCCTGTTAGCGTGGAGTTCGTTGAGGTGTCCGAGCGTGCATCGTACGGTTTCTCGGCAGCAGCTAATTTTGGTGATGGTTGTGCCGAAATCACTTCGGATGCAACACTAGAGGTGCTGCCGCTGGCCGATTTGCCACTAGCAAACGAGAATTGCTTGCCCAAGAATGAGCCGGTACTTATGCCGCTTATGCCACTACCGCCAGCACTACTGGGTGCACCGCCACTACCGCCGCCGCCAGTGCTGGTCTCGCTTGCTGTTCTTCCGCGTTTCTTATTCGCTAATTCCTACATGTCACCAAATATCCCCGCAAAGGTCTTACGCAAATTCTTCATCGTATCCTCGGCATCCTCGACAACCGAAGTTTGCGTTTGCGGTGGGCGTGATGAGACACGCGAGGCCGATGATACGCTCGATGCTTGTGAAGTTTGTGAATCACGACGTGCAATGCCGCCAACGCTGCCTGGAACACTGGTTGGTGCTGGTGCACTAGGCTCTTCAGGTAACTCCGAAATGCTACTGCGGCTGCTGAGGCGTCCAATCGAGCCGACTGCGGGCGATGTACGCTCGGGTATGGGTGGTGGGCCACCCATGGGAGCGGGACGAGGACCAGCCGGTGCCGGTGGTGTTGGTGCCACATCCTCAGTGGGACTCTCACCACGCGAGGAGATAGACGAACGTGATGGTTGCCGAATGCCATGTGGTGGGCCACCAGTCTGAGCCATGCTGGGGCGGCAGACGTTCTGGAATGGCAATTAATTGGCGTGTGATAGTTGAAGCAATAGAACTAAGTTTTATTAAAGAAAAATATTATTGCACTCACTTGCATTCTTGCCGAGACCAAATCGGCAATCTGGCGCCGATCTTCCTCCTGACTATCGCCAATCAATGAGAATGTACAATCGCATGCGCTAATTATATGCTCACGCCCATCTTTACCGACCACTACGGAGAGGCCGCATACCTCCATGCCGCCGAAGAGTTCAGAGATCTACGAGAAACGGAGAACGTGTAAAGAATTAGTCATGTAACTGTTTAAATTCTATGTAATTTATACAAATATGCAGCTGTTGTTGTTGTATTCTTCGACATGTGTTCACAATTTGCTGTTTGCCCCATTTCTGTTGGGAATTAATCAATTCCCGCTTGCTAAATACACTCGGCCGGAATCTCCATCTAATAACAACTAATGATATTGTATTTGACCAAATTGTTTTGACAATACGTATGTATGTATGTTTGGGTGTGTGTATGTGTGTGTGTGTGTGTGTGGTTTAGAGGCAATGTTTGTAATTAATCGTCTGAGTCTGAGCTTATACTGATTAGTAGCAGCTTATGTTCCTATGCGAATGCCGGCGGTTAGCGTAACACAAACCCCGTCCACACCCGCATTGAGCATATAATGCGGCAGTTCGTGGTTTGCTAATCCATTATTCAAAATACGTAGTTGCTTATTGTTGATGTGTGGTTATGGGACCCTATTTTACTGTCTAACAGTGCGAATCCACTGTAAAATGGAGAGGGGAGGGCTTAGATCCGTATAAATTTACATTAGGTAAGTGCGTTCGGAGTCGAAACTGGGTTAAACGAAGGTGGGTGGAATAAATTTAAGCTTCTTCAAGAACAAGTGTTCGTCTATGGCATGGTAAGTTCAGTTGAGTTTGTAAATCACCCAAGTGGGACCAGCGTTCGAGTGTGAAATAAATTTTTCTCGTTGAATCCCACACAATTTGTCAAACGTTCAAAAAAAAAAGGGCGCGAGTCGTTTGTTTGAGAGAAGTTTTGAAAAAAATACGCTGTGGTGCTTCGGAGCACGTCTATGACGTCTCGTAACAGTTAATGAAATGCGGATTCTCACGTATAATCGCGAAAGCAAACAGCGATCGACAGTATGGCTGTTTACAGATGAGCCGAATCCAAAGAAGCTTTTCGCGCACGAAGCATTTCCGGGCAAATGGACATCGCAATCGTATCACTAGAACAACGCAGAACAGTAATTTCTGAGTTGTGCCCCACTATTTTTTTACTCCGAAAACGGATCACTCTTCAACTCGACAATGCGAGTTCTCAAACAATGACGAAAACAAGAAAACAACTGCATTTTTGAGTACTCAAAACATCGATATGATAAGTCATCCGATATATAGTCCTGATTTGACACCGAACGAGTTCCTTTATATCCGTTCAAAAAAAAAAAAAAAATTACGTTATTCGATACGTGAAGAGGCGGTTGATGGGTTCAGAGTGATGCATATTTTGGATATTCCTTAATCCGACTTACAGAAGAAAGTTAAGTATCCCGTATCGGGTAGGTACAAGTTATAATTGGCCACCATACAATATCAGTCATCCTTAAATAGGACAAGAAAGGAAGTACTTCAGGCTTTCCTGGGGAAATCACTGGAGGTAGAACAGTTTTAGCGATGACAAGCCGAAATAAGGGCTATTGAAATTATTCGTAAACATCTATGACGCATGGTTTAGTTATGGCAGTTAATCAACAGATTGAAAACGCAAACCCAGCCTTTGTGCACGCGTGTAAAAGCCTGCATATAGCACGAAACGAAAATCAAAATCCTTTCGCCGGACGCACATTGAAGAAGTGGCATTGTCGATGGTAATGTTTCTTGAAAATAACTCTTGATCACTAGATCTGCGGCTAGAGAAAAAGCAATCAAGACTTATGAGCACACTTACGAATGGGGTGAAGCATTGCGCGCTGCGTCCAACTTTCTGTTGACATAATCGTCCCAGCATAGGCGGTAATTCAAGCAACCATGAATAGGTTTCGCAACAAGTTTACTTTAGTGGATAATGAATTGGAGCCGAGCTCATATGGAGGATTTGCTGAAAGATCTTTGTCGTCAGGGAGGAGAAGGTCGACCTAAAGTTATAAAAGTATACCCCTTCAGGAGAAAATGTGAAAGAGTGCAACGATTAGCGTCCATCGTGATAGCGGAAGCATTGCCATCAACTCCCTCAAAAGCGCTGCTAACTCTTCTCAACCTCTTTCCTCTGCACCTCTGGCAGGACAGTCGGTTTCAATTTACTCCGATGGTCAGGCTGCAATCGGATCTTTTCAATGTATCAATACCACGTCAAAATTGTAAAAACTCTCGTAACAAACTCTTTGCGATGTACATTACTGCCATGGTCCGGGTACCTGGACACAAGGGACATCACAGGCAATTGCATGGCAGACGAGCTAGCAAGGGGAGCAACCCTTTTATCCACATTAAAACACGCACAAGATGCTGGTTTACCCTTTGTTACCGGCTAAGTATATGTTTAAACTGGCCTTCGCCGAGGAAGCTGACTCAAGATGGTTGAACGAGATCACGTGCAACGTGACCAGATAGCTATGGCCGAAGTTGGACGCAATAAAATTAAAACATCTTTTCCTTCTGGACTGGTTCTCTATTAACATAATGACTGGACACTGTTTAATGGGGCTTCACGGGAATATCATGACTCTTACTCTATCGATTTCTGTCGCAGCTGTAGGAACGAAGAAGAGGAAGAGACCATCTAGCCTTGACATCTGCGTGACACAAGTTCCTTGGGAAACACTTCTTTGACAGTCTCGCTGAGTCGGCCTCAGAAAATACTGGAAATCTCGTTACCTTTATAAGGCACACGAAATGGTTCGATCCTTTGAGAAGGTGAAGGTAGGATCCTCAGCGGTATCACAACGCGCGTATTGACCTGTGTTGGCAATAACCAGCAGCCGCAATAAACTCAACTCTACTCATGTTGTTGTTGTTGTAACCGCAAAAATATTCCCCAAAGTACTTTTTGGGGAATTTCGCGGGAGTGACAGTCCTTGGCTGGATAGAATTCCGAGTCGTTACGGTGTAAAGACGCGACTGTCGCGGGTACTATTGGATTTTAGTCGCCTGTTACGACAGGCATGCCTTACTGTGGGCAAATTCTGTAACCCCAAACCCGCAAGGGGGTGCGCTGTTTTTTTTAAGTCATATATGTGCTGAGCACGCAATTTGTGATTATTGTTATTAGATAAAGACTTTGAGATCTACGTTGCAGAAATTGTTTTTTTTTCTTTGGTGCAAAACAACTAGTATTTAACTAGTATGCTGCTGATGCGTTTTATGGGTAATCAGTAATCGGTATTCAAGAAATACGAGCCGCTGATATGGGAGAACGTTGAAAGAATAACTAATTTTTGTTCTAAGGCAAAGTTGTGGCGCACTAATTTACAAAAAGCACTTTTTCCCGCAGAAATCATAGAAGCTTGTGATACCACATTGCTTGTATCACTGCACAGTTCATGACGAAAAAAACAATAAAAATTAATATTTAATGCATTTCGTATGTAAATTATGTACTTGCATAAATACCTAAATAATCACATAGATTGAATAATTGCTAAATACAACCATGCCAAATCACTTTATACTCATACCAACGTTAACAAATACCCTGCCGGGAAAAGTACTAATTTTACTAGTATTTTTATTTAACACGGCGATGTCAGATACGAACTGTCAATTTTCCGACTATGCATCAGCTTTAAACTAGGTGTATACCAGTTCATTTAGGCATGTTGTTAAATTATAAAAACGAGTTTGCCTGCAGCTGTGACTCAAACCGTAAGCCTACCACGTTATAGTTATAACCACTAACCACTCGGCTATGGATACGAAGAAGCGATGAATGTCGTTTTACGCACTTTTACAGAGCGTAATTGAGAATGGCGGCTAGATATACCCTGTAGGGAGAAGGTTAATTAAATACAACTTATTACAGGTGGACTGATTTCAACTTCAATATATATACTGGTATTTGACTGACATTTCTTCGTACTAGTCTGCCTTCTCCCTGCAGGTATTACATATATAATAATGTATGTACATACATATATATTATACTACAACTGATATGCTAATGCCAAATACGAGTAGGGTAATGAGTCATTTGACAGACATTCCTATTTAATGTAATATTTTTCAAATATTATTAACATATCAATATAAGAGTGTTACATACATACATACATACCATGTAGTTAATGGATATGAGTAGTAGACCAGGAATTGGATTAGGCAAAGTGCCAAGGCACGAGCTTTCTACCATGGTTTCTTGGCTCTGGCTCCGATATAAACATATTTGCTTTGCCGCCTTTGAAAAGGCCATAAAATACCAAAGTCTATGGCCAGATTATGTGCAAGATCGCAGTTAAGTGCAGTGGGTGTGTAGTGCAGTACGTGCGAATGTCTCATTTTTGGCAACAAACGAAATTTGAGTATGTACATATGTATGTACGTGAGTGATAAAATTTTGCACTTGACTGTAAGCAGCTCGAAAAAGGTTACTCACAAATTTTGTGCATTTTTCCTTTTGTTTTGGTTTCAATTTTACTTGAACACCTTGGAATTTATATGGCGTTGAGAGTATTAAGCAAATTGTTGTTGCAATTTGTTGTTAATTTGTTAATAACATTTACTTTTAAGTGCTATTTGATATATTATGTGCGCCATCGATTATGACAGCCTCAAGTGGCACTAAAATTTTGTTGGCAAAATATGGAACGATTGTAAGTACAATGTAGCTTCTGGCATTTTACGTATTTATGCAAATTTAATTTTAGAACCTTTTCAAGTCACTCCGAGGTTATTTGTGGTGCGGAGTAAACGAGCGCTACTTCAGCAGTGGCGAACGTTATCGGATTAAATTAATGATTGTTTCAAGTAATTTATTTCCCACTCTAGCTTTCTCAAACTACTGGTATAATGCTGTAAAGAGAGGGGAACGAGACGCGTTTGCACTCAGAAGAAAGACGGACCAAACCAAGTTTCAGAAGCATTGTACAACAAAAGTTCGGTTAGTTGACCAGAAAAAAAATCAAAAAAAAAATTCTGTTTGTATTTATTCGTAAACTTTGTCCTTTTTTACTTCTCCACACAATCGCCATTGATTTTAATGCATCCGCATCTTTGAGCGAAATGCTAAAATGCCTCTTTTCGGCCCTCATTTAAAAATTGAGGTACTCATCGAGCAGTTTTCTTCGTGTATCCTAGATGGTTACTTCAAATGGACCATGGAATTCAAGCCCAATTCATTAGGAATCATTTCTTGTGTCAATCAAGGGTCCTTGTCAATTTTGGTCTTCACTAGAGCTTCAGCAATGCCATCAGTTAACGATTTTAGCCGACCTTCTCAGGGCTCGTCCTCTACGGAAAAATGTCCGGTCTGGAATCTTCGGAACGACTTAGAAATATTCTTTGAAGACGCCGAAACCCGAAGAGAACCACATGGCGAACTTCTGTTTGCGTTGGTGATGGAATTTCGTCTGATCTATTCTCAGCTATCTATTTGTCTCGTCCTCATTAAAGGCGATCCTTTTAAAATTTGAAAGGAAGATGACCGAACTTTTGTTAAACCCCTCGAATGTATTAAAAACGAGCAACTATAAAAGCGGTTAGTTCCGCTTGGAATGCGCAAAAGGTTCAGAGTATACTCCACAACCTACTTTACCATCTAGCTTAGAGCCCTCGATAAAGATGGTGATGGATCTGTAATCTCTGGGATTTTTGTTGAGAGAGCATTGTCGAAACAGAAGATGGAATCAATGTAGTGATGTAGAGTTTTGTGTTTGGGGGTGTCTTAAGCAGCTTTTCCATGATTGAGTGAGTGCTGGCGTTGCAACTCGCATGGTGGTTCCCTAATAGATCTGCCGGGAGAATAATAGCGATTTCGTAGAATAATATGGGTCTTATTACCGCTTTGTATAGCCAGTAGACAATATGTGGTCTTAGGCGGTCCTGGCTTTTTAATAAAACTCGTAAAGCTCATCGTTCTATCATGTGCGGTATTCGCCGCTGCCAATACACAACGACTCTTGACCTAAATATGCACAGCTCGATTAGCGAAGAGGGGGACCACACAAACTGCGCCAATTATCGTGGGATAAGTATCCTCAATTCTCGAGCGTATTGTATGAAAGACAAATCCACGGTTAACGCACTGATTAGCTCTTATCAGGTTGGTATCAGGCGTAGAGGTTAAAACATTTGATCGCAAACCCTATATGACTGTATCAACTGACGCTGAGCAGCACCAAAATCTCCATGAGAAGCGAAAACACCCCTCCAAACCATTCGATTTCTGCAATGGTTCAGGTAAGGTAACTCATTTCCCAGACACAATCTTCGATAAGACCATATGCCCATCAATTGACATCAACAGCCTCAACAGCCAAATAGATAATTCTGCTTCCTCCAGGCTAGATAAGGAAGTGAACCTAATAGTTCTAGTTGTGAGCAAAAACAAGATTAAATAGCTCCAGACGATTAAACATTGAGCTATAAGTGTTAAAGTACGACGTTCACATGCAACGAGTTAAAGGGAAACCATCCCCGATAATTCACGGTAATGCTCACTCTTCCTTGAGTTCCATCACTTTACTCTACTGTACGCTGAAAAGCAGCCCATGATTCGTGTAGTCCAACAGGAATACCACATCCTACAAATATGCCAGAAGCTAAAATCTTGCTTACAACTTTCGTTCCAATATGTGCCGATATGCATGCAATTGTTGGCAGCGCCCCGAATGTTCCACATATTCACTCTCATTCCAAACTACTGGTGTAGAGTTTGTCAACAAATCGACTGTACGCCGAGCAACCCACTCAAAAACATATGTGTGTCCGACAATGGAAAATAATTATTAGGAGAACAGCAGAGTCTACAGAGCGAACTATCCCCCCTTTCTTGAAAAAGTTTCGAATAAAACCACAAATGAATATGTCATTCATTAAATTATATAGCAATTTAGATTCCTCTTACGCTCTACATATTGAAGGAATTTGGGAAGCGGCAGTAAGGAGCTTTAAAACACACTTCACCAAAAACGTTGAAATCACGAATTCAACTTCGAGGAGTTTACCACTCTCATAAAACGGTACTCAATCCAGGCCATTCTCTCCTATGTCCTGAATTGCAAGAATTTGATGGTGCTAACCCCAGGTCACTACTTACGAGGAGCTCCCGTAAGAGTACTCCATCATCAGTTCAGCAACCGCTGGTAAACTCAGTTGAAATTATATACAACAATGTATTGAAATTAAACCGTAAACTCTATTTTCGGTTAACGTCATAATAAATTAGAAATTTTTTAGCGAAACATAATTTGGGACGCATTGTTGCATGCACTAAGTAGTTCAAATCCATTCACTAAAACCGCATAATTTACTACGAGATATGTACTTGTATATGTAGATATGTTGTTTATGTACTTGTATATGTAAATGTGTTTGATTATGCATCGGATTGTCTGTCAAATAAATCAATGAGACTATTAGTGCACGAGGATACACGCAAAGTCAAATGCAAATTGCGCACAAATTTATGATCATCGCCTAAAACACGCGTCTACACACTCAATGGGCTTTTACGGTATTTTGCAAAGTAACAAGGCTTGAATGAGTGCACTCGACAGCAAAGGAAAAAAAACGAAAAATCAAAATAATATACCAGATATAGAGATAAAAAAAGCGTGAAGTCAAAGACAGACAAGAAACCGGATTTGATTAATGCAAACAATTTGCAAATTGCAATTCGATGAGCTAAGCTGATAGATAGCGTCACAAGAGCTGTTTGATGGTGGCGGCGTTGGAGGCGACGTTTGACATTCATTTACTCGCCAAAAGCAGGCTGTTGAAGGAGGCAGAGAGCAGTTTACACTTTTTACCTGATATTTTTTTTAGTTTTTGACTCGTTTTTTTGCTTGCATTTTATTTTATATTTTTCATTTAAATTGTTTTTTGTATTTTTTTTTTATTTCGTAACTCACCTCATCCACCCAGGACTTGTACTTCTCGGTTAAAGTGATTTGCTCGAGCATCGCTGAGCCTTGATTAGTTTTCCAATGGCCTGAGATCGATTTGCGCCTGCAATGAGAGTTTGCTGGTTAGTGCATCATGACTTGAGGAGCGGTAGGAGGGGGATATAAACAAAAACTATATTCATTTAATGAAATTGAAGCATAAATCACGAAATAATAAGCGGCACTTTTGTATAGGGCTTAAATACTTAAATGGTATTATTATTAAATTACGCGAGTATCGAGAGTTATTGCATTCGAGTGCGACGACCGTGTGGTTGGTTGGTTGGTTGGTGGCACCGTCGGTCGGGCACAGCACGCTGTGGCGGCGGCAAAAGAGGTCTTTGACTGTGGCAATCTTTTAAGCCGCTTTTGTTTTCACTTCAATTTGTGTTATTGTAGCCCTGTTGTTGTTATTGGCTTGTGTTATTACAACTATTGTGGTGGCATATCAATGAGCGCTAAGTGCACTTACTGTGTGCAACCAACAGCAGCAATGACCTGCACGTTTGCGCCTTTTTCTTATTATTATTATATTTTTTTTTTGTTTTCGTTTTTTTGTTGTGTTTTGGAACCTTCATTGTGCAATGATTTCTCAAGTGCTGCGTATGCGCCCTCGCGTAATGAACTTCCATTCTTCTTTCCTATTTACTGGAAGCACGAATCTGTGAGCGATGAATGTAATGCAAATGTAACACTATTTCTTAGAGATAAATAATTTATTTGTAACTGATACGTTGAGCGTGTTGTTGTTGAGCATCTGATGAGATATTGCACTTCCCTGTACGGTGGCGTGGCAATTGAAAAAACTTTCAGCAAAATATGATATGAAATTCCCTTTATTTCTTTATTTTAATTTTAGAATATTAATTTATTATAATTTTTAAGATTACATTCTTGTAAGATTTGGTAAAATTTTATATAATTTTTTTTTGGTAATTTTATCTATTCCCCTGCCGAGCTCCTAATTTAATTTATGGTGGGCGTCTTGGCGTTGTTTATGTGAAAATATTAATTTATTGCTAGAAATACACTCAGAGGGGTTGGCATTCCCTGTCAATTAGTGACCGCAATTCCACAAATCAACTTATTTTTTTAAATTAAATTAATTTTCAATTTTCGGCTGAAAACCGCTTTAGCGGTTATAAAGCGACATATATATATAATTTAATTTCATCTCATCACAACCTCTGAATTCGGATTTAGGAACCAAAATTACTGTTGAATACTCGATGCAGTATGTGGTGATTTCTTAAACATATCACTTGACATTAAATCACATCATATCGCATCAAACAATTGAATTTGTTAATAAAAATTAAATTTCTTCAAATAAATTCACATTTTACGATGTAATATAATATGTAAATGATGATACTGCTTAAAAAAATTTAATTAACATTAGCATTTAAAGAATAAAATAAAATTTTATTTCTTTTCAAAATACGTCACATCGCATCACCATCATGTGAGGTTAGTATGCGCATAAATTTTAAATTTTTCCCTCGTTTAACTATTCTCATCTAGCATGCAGTTTTTTTTTTTATAATTTTACCAATTGTTAACGATATAGATATCATCAGTTTATATCACATCAAATAAATAAGAGTAAAATAAGACTTTCAAATAAGTGTTGTTGAATGACTGCACCATCATATGAACGCTAGTATAATGCTTAGTTTGTTTAATTATTCTTTTTTGCTATTACATTTAACTAAAAGAGTGCCATATCATATCTTTGAGCATCACATCACGCGAATGCTAATGCAATAAAAATCAGATCCTACTTAAATCTAAAATTTTTTTCGTATTTTTGTGTTATTAATAATTTTAAATTAAAAATTATAATAAATTAAGCTTTCAAAAATGTGACAACATATCGTGCGACGTCACATCATATAAATGCTCCACGATTTTTTTTTTTGCGTGTGAGGAGAAGAAAAATGCCTTTCGCATCATCATGGTGTCGTCATATCAATGGTATGTGCCACTTGCAGGTCACTAAAAAACTCTCCTCTAGGGAACCGTCGCTCAACTTGAAACCGCTTTCGTATTACCTCTGGGTGGCGTTCCATTTTTCTCATGGTGAGATTATATCTCGCCACCTGCATCCAGTTTCCACTTTTTCGCTCGTAGTACTTTTTCTGCAAAATCCTTTACATTTCTCCAGTTTGCCTCGCTTTGTAGCATAATTGGGACAATATTATCTTCTCTTAGTTGTCCAACTGTGTTTTCAAGTATGATTTTCGCGTCTTGCCAGCAATTGCATTGAAAGATAATGTACTCGGCGTCATCTTCGTCAGGATCGCTATAGATGCATGACGGATCTTCAACTTTCCCTATTTTATGGAGGTATTTCGTGAAATACCCGTGACCAGACAGCATCTGGGTATTGTAGTAGCCTACTTCCCCGAATTTTCTAATTGTCCATATTTTGACGTCTGCTATTAATCTGGCCGTCTACCGGCGATGACTTCCTTCTTCCCATCGGGCTTGCCACTGGATCAGGATTTCTATCCTTATGTCCTCTCTGTTCGTATTGACATCCTTGGTTCTTCATTTTTATGTGCGACCAGTTTCTTTTCTTTTCGGCTGCCAATAAATCGATTGGAACGCTTCCGCTTATTACAGCTATAGCTTCCCCTGATACTGTACGGTATGTCGACGCTACCCTCAAAGCCGCCGTTATACTTTGGTCAGTACCATTCGCCTATTATTCTTTTTAAGTGAGTCCGCCCATAGCTCGGCTCCATGCAGTTAGCTGTTAAGGGTTGCCGCCATGATAAACTTTCTTTTATCTTGAGTTGGACCTCCTATGTTAGTCATTAGTCTACTAAGCTGAGAAGTGACTTTGGACTGCAGCGTGCTAGATCTGTGCCCAGCTCCACGGTTCGTACATATTATATTACCAGCTTTAAAACTGAAAATTTAGTCACATCATTCCACAATACATTACATAACTGTGATACATTATTTTTTGTGTGTTATTTAAAAAAGCTTTTAGCGCTGTCTTATATATAAAATTCACAATATTTGATATCATATGATGTGATATCACATCATATGCGGATTAGATGATGACTCATTTTATTTATTTATTTTATTTTTTGCTGCTGACATCTTGAATAAATTCTACTTTTTGGTATATAAGTATTTATTATAAAAGTAATTATAATATTTTATGAAAAGAAAATATCGCATCGTTTGACATGACTTCATATGAATAGTAGGAGACTTTTTATTATGATTTTGAATAAAAGTTGCTTCTTGTTTTATTAACTATTAAGCTCTTAAAGCGATTTCAAATTCTATCTCAAAAATATATATCACATCATATTAGCCGATATGACATCATATAAATGATAGGTTAATTTTTCCCTATGATTTTCCACAAATATTACTACATGCCTTAACAACTTGTAAATTCCTAAAATGAGTTCAAATTTTATATAAAAATATATCACATCACATGCTTACAGTAGATCACATCATCACATGTATTTTATGCAAATTACTGCATTTTCCTTCGCCATTAACCACGGTGCCTTAAAAGCCAACAACAGACATGACACAGCTGCCCTCACCAGCGCACATGGATTTTTGTTGGTGCACATTTCAATTACTTTCAATTGCATTACAACGCCACTGACCGAACGACCGACCGACCGTCAGTTGATTTACTCGTAATCACTCCGATTGTTCTTTACTCTTTTTTGCTTTTAACTTGCGCTGACCGCTCAACCACCACTTAGCCAGCCAGCCAGCCGGGCCGGCTGTGAAGGCTGCAATTGATGAGTGGCCATACGTTGCAAAATCAAGGTCAGCAAGTCAGCGGACAACTTAATCCATGTCTTTAGCAGTTGCCATTGACAGTGTTGATGCAATGTGCATTCGTGATGCTTTAATGCCGCCCGTAATATTCATGCATACGAGTACAAGTATGACTGTATGTACGTATGTGTGCATACATAAAAGCAATTTCGTTTCACATTTCTCATTTCATCAACAAAAAAAAAAAAAAAAAAAAAAAAAAAAAAAAAAAAAAAAAAAAAAAAAAACGAAAATTGAAAATAAAAAGAAATCACTGCTTTGCATTAATTACGCGGCGTCACGAAATATTTTTATATATACACAAATATACTTATATGTTTGTACGCATTATTTTTCTTGTTTTTGGTATTTTATATTTGCTACAATTGCTCATAATGCGGCACGACCACTGTATGGCATCGCGTCTCCCGGTTTATCTGCCTACACAGACAATGTCTACTCAATCTAAATACTCGTACATACATATGTATGTTATATAGATATATACATACATATGTATGTTATGTTTGTTTGTTTGCTGCACGCACGCGTATTTACTTACATAAAAGCCTTGTAATTATTTCCGATCTTCTGAATGTGCACATCGAATTTAGCATCAATATAAGGTTCAATCGTACAATAGCAATGTGCATCGTTACCCGATCCGGTGACAAGGCCGGCGGCATCCTGTAGAGCGCTCTGATTCTCGAGACGTGCAGTGGCCACGCCGCCGTGGCAATGACCTGCCTTCAAAACACAGGGAAACTTGGACCAACTGAACTGTAGGTTAAAGAGAGAGAAGAAGAGGAGAACAAAATATGAATAAGAATTATAATAATTCAGTACTTGCGGGTATTTATTATGAAATGTTAACCGCAAAATAAATTATTTCAGGAAATGCCATTCAATAATGTACAAAATATTTTTTTTTAATTAATTTTTTTTTTAAATTATTTTTTTTATTGTTTTTATTTTTTTTTTGTATTTATTAAAATAAAAATTGTGGCTTTATTACATATACGCATATGTAAATGATTTGTTGTACACTACTGTTTAATATATATTTTTTTTGGGTTTAACAAAAAAATTGATTACATTTATGTTGATTAACTCTCTGGCTCATAGCCAACAGAAAGCCCAAAGGCGTCGTCGAGCTGCGCCAATCTCATTTTTGTTGTTTTAAATGTTGCAGCAGCAATCGACGCTGCGTCATATGGCTAAGTGCCGGCAAATTGTGTTGATGATTTTGAAAGTTTTTTTTTTAATATTTGCGAAATTTCTACGAATTTTCAATGAAATTTTCTTAAATTCTCTATAAGCCATTTTTCCACACTTTACAAATAAAAGGCGCGCAGAGCAGATATTATTTAATACATATTGAAAACACTCCTCGTTGCCTGAATGGAACACCTAGAAGCTTGATTTCAGGTTGTCCCAAAGCAAATTTGTTAATATGAACACAATTAAAGATTCTGGAGCACGCAATACGATTCCGCAGGCTGAAGTAGAATTTTCAAGAATTGATTTTGAACGCATTATGAGTTTTGAAACCTGTGAATGGTATGAGCGCTAAGTTATTAGATAATTCTATTAATGGTTATTTTGAATAGTCTATTCCGGGAGATATCACTTTTTAAGTTGTAAGTTTGTGACATTTGACATGTAAAAACTCGACGTGTAACTGCTTATATAAATATATAAATGTATATATATATAGAACTTTGGAACCAATGAAGCTATTTTCGGCCGAGCTCCTCCTCCAATTTGTGGTTTAGCGTTGCGGTTTATTTGGGCAACATTTACTTTCAGCAAGACCATGCTATGTGGAACGAAACCATTGATCTTTTAAGGGAAAAGTTTCTTTGAATATCAAAATAACACCTCTTATTGTAGACCCCTTTATCTTACATTTTTTCGGAGAGGCTACAGAAGTACCTTTTGCTCAAGAGAATACAGCGCTATGAAAGAAGTTTCAAAATCTTATGGAGTTTTTCTGAAACCGTTCTTTTTCAGCTTCTTGCGGTTTGTACCGAATCTATGAAAAAACATTTATATTTTCTATTAGTTCCTGTTGTTTCTGGGATCGAAGCGCTTGTTTGGTAGTGGCAATGTGTGGTTTTGCATCTTCAAGTTTTTCCAACAAATGGAAGAACCCTAAAGTTCATACTAAGCTGCCTACGAAGGGCTAATGGTTTTCTTATGCGGAGCTTTATTTCATGCCAGAAATACACTCGGAGGGGTTGACATTCCCTATCGAGGAGTTGACATTCCCTGTCGAGGGGCGACCGTAATTAGAAGATTTTGCTTAATTTTTTATTTAAATTAATTTTCTATAACTTCTTGGATATTATTACGACAACAAAGCTTTGAACCCGAACCTTCCGATTGGCAAGTCATCGTAGCGGCTACTTTTTGCAGTACGTCAGCAGTAATGCGCCGAATATTCTCCTCCAAACGCGCAAATTTTCTAGGGCTCAGACCAGCGACTTCGCACAACTACACACAAAATAGTCCAGCGGTGTTGATTGTCACTATCGTAAAGGCCATTCCACAGGCCCACGACGCGAGATAATGCGCTCATCAACAGTTCCTTCCTGATTGTATCGTTGGATGTCTAAAATAAAACCACATCAAACACCTGGCAATTCAGGCACGAAAAAATCATTAATCACTGCTCTATACACTCGCCATTGACAGTAACATTATGTACGGCTTCAGTTTTGAAGAAATATGGACCAAGGATTGCCTTTGCCCATAAAGTAGACCAATAATTGTGGCTTTTTGAGGGTGTGACAGCTTTTCAAAAGTCGTTTGGGGATTATCATAACTCCATATCCGAGTTGTATTTTGTAAGTTCGCAAACCAAGATCGTCCTTGTACCGCGCGATGGCGAGCTATTCGGGTATTTTTCGATACTCTGCTCCACAGTAATTAGTTCAACAGTGGGGTCATTAAGGAAGCCCATCATTGAAGACAGCGCAGAGTTGAATGAATAATTTTGACAACAGATGAAAGAAACCACAAAGAACAAGGAAACAAAACAAAATAACACGTGACGTGCAGAGACTCTTGCAAATTCTCTAAAGAGTTTATGGACAGTCTTATTTCAATGACCGTGAGTGTGAGTACACCTACATTTTTGAACTATAATATGCGTATTCCACAGAAATTAGAAGTTGAATCACTCACAGCTGAGCTTTTTTCAGATGTTTTTGACTTTCCAAAAATATTCTCAATTGACCTTGACATTGAAAAATGAATTGAGCTGGCATTTGTACGTGCATGAGTGTGAGTATTTCTTTGATACAACTGTATAGCCGGAAATTTATTTTGGCAAACGCGAGTGCACATGACTGTAGTACGAGGAAAATTCATATTTTTATTTTATTCATCATCCCCAGCTCTTCACTATTAATAAAAGCTATTAATACGTTGGGAAAATAAATGTTTTTAGTCCAATGAGCACCGAAAAAAGTGCGCAAATTCATTAGAACTTTTAAAATTCATACCAACATTGCCCCTCTGCCTTGGTGAAATCATGTTTTTCTTGATTTCTTGGAATTGTTTTTAACAGAATTATTTTCAATAGTTTTCTACAGCTCCTTGCTGTTTTGTTGTGTGGCTAAATATTTTATTTTACAAGGGAAAATATGAAAAAACGTGATTATATAAAAAATTTTACGAATTTTGGTGGATTTACCAAGAGTGAAAAAGTTTTAAAGCACATATTTACATTAAAGACTTTGTTTTTAAAGACGAAATAAAAAAATTCAATTCTAAAACAATAAAAATTAATTAATAAAAAATCCACGCGGAAACAGATTACCAATTTAGTGCCAATAAAACACTTAAAGACCAACATAAATCTCAATTGTTGTATCTTTGCTTGGCTATTCATTCATAGCGTAGATTTACGAGCAGTTTAAAATTCCATATCATTGATAAATCTATACACTGACTCATGCCCTGCTGAACATTACTCCTCCCCTTATTTATTTATTTACTCACTAAAGTACACTCAGTTGATAGACGAGCATAAATTAAAAACACTCAACAGTTTTTAAATGGTTTTTACGCTGATACAAAATAACTCTTGGCGAAATGAAATGTAATGCGAAGCACGTGTTTTGCGCTAAGAACGAAACGTAGGAATGACGCGATGGCAGAATCAATTGATGTTGCAATGTGGAGACAATTGAGGAAGAGCTTAAATGGATGTATGTGTGTGTGTGTGGGAAACTGGAGCAATTATAAAAAAAAAAAATACGAAACCAAATGACCAAATGACCACACGTCATTAGTAATTAGTGGAATTTTCGGGTTGGGTTTGGCTTGAATCTCGACGGGTGGGCGAAGAATGATGTGCCAACACCTCATGATCGACTTTACTGAGATGACATTTAATTGTGGTGATGTTAATTATATGCAATGTGTAAATTGCAAACTTATTAGTAACATTTGCTATTTTTAGAATAATAGGAATGGCGTTGATAACTTTTGGTACTTATTAAAATTATATTCATTATAGCGTTATCAAGTAGAATTTGCAGTGCACTATAAACTGTTTTTCTTTTTTTTATTTATATTATTTAATTATATTTTATTTTCTTTTAAGTTTTATTTATTTTTCTACTTTTTTAATTTTTTATTTAATTTTATCAAATTTTATTCAATGCAATTGTTGAAGCCACAAGTCTTCAATATTTGAGAGCCACTGGAAGTGTCCGTCAAACCAATATTTGTCAATATTTAAGCAGGAAAACTACCGGTGGAGTTTTCTTTACCACGTTTTCTCATTTAAGCCAGTGTTCCAGTCAAAACTGTAGTCAATTTGAACGAGTCTTTTAATCGAAACTTTGGCGATATTTTAAATAGGTAAATTTTCATTTTCAGATATTTTTATGTCAACATAATTTTTCTTGATTTCATAGTATTTATATTGGGGATTATCCACCTATGTACATACACTTCTATATATGTACGTGCTGATAGTCTGAAGCATATTTGTAATTACACGATTTGTTTAAATAAATCAAAATTTTTTGTTGAAAAATCTACTGAAGTAAACCGGCATTCGCATAGTTTAAATTTTGATATAAACATTAATTTTATTTTAATTTAAAATGCATTTTTATTTTGTTTTAGATTAGCATGATTTTTTTATTTACTTAAATCGCTTTATTAAAATTTAACTATTCTATTTTACTTTCTTGTTTATTTTAATTTAATTTAATTTCACTTTAATTGTAATTTTTTAATTGTTTTCATTTATTTATTTTTTTATTTTCTTTTATTTTTTTCATTTTATATCGGGTAATTTTATTTTGTTAAAATTTTATTTTTATGGTAAATCATATTACATTGTCTTATTTTATTTAATTTCATTTTATTTTGTTTTGTTTAATTATTATAATTTTATTTTATTTTATTTTATTTTATTTTATTTTATTTTATTTTATTTTATTTTATTTTATTTTATTTTATTTTATTTTATTTTATTTTATTTTATTTTATTTTATTTTATTTTATTTTATTTTATTTTATTTTATATTATTTTATTTTATTTTATTTTATTTTATTTTATATTGTTTTATCTTTTTTTATTTTATTTTTATATATTGTATTTATTATTTTTTTATTTTTTATTTAATTTTTATTTTTATTTCATTTTATTTTATTTTTTTTATTACACTTCATTTCATTTTATATTCTTTATATATTATTTTATTTTATCTTATATTTTTTCATTTTATTATATTTTATAACCAATATTTCCATTA